ATTTTTTAAAAAATTATAATTTAAAGAGTTATAATTCATTTGCATGTATTTTACATTTAACAGTTATATAAAATTTTAATTATTTATTTTTATTTTTAATAATTAAAATTTATTTATTTTTTATTATATTTATTAAAAGAGAACGAATTTACTTATATATAAGTTTACACATAAATTTTGCAACACAAATTTTGAACACTAGATTAGCTTTAGCAACACAAATTTTGGGCCATTCTCGAGCACCTCGTTGGCACCTGATTTACCTTTCCTTAAGCTAAACACTTATGGGGCCTTGAGCCATGTTGCGGAGAAGGCTAGTGCTGGTGGCTTGATTCGTGATCATGAAGGTCGTTGGGTGCATGGGTTTGCCTTGTGTATTGGACATCAATCCAGTTTTATAGCAGAGCTCTGGGGATGGCGTGAAGGTCTGCGCATGGCTTTTGATTTGGGTATTACTCATTTAATCCTAGAAATGGATTCCCTATTGGTTGTTCAAATGCTCCAGGCGAGGAAAGGGGTGGAAGGCTTAGCTTCAACTCTGTTTTCTGACATCCTTCATCTTTTAGACAATTTTTCAGAGTATCGTATTCAACATACTCTTAGGGAAGGCAACTCGGCAGCAGATTACATGGCTGCTATTGGACAAAACCTTTCTCAGGATGTCACTTTGTTTGTAACGCCTCCTGTTGGCATTAGCAGTATCCTCCATAGGTACGCCATAGTTACTTCGTTCCTTCGGTTTTAACTTTCTTTTATCTTGATTTTATAATCTCTTATGTACCAAAAAAAATAAAAGTTTACACATAATATTTTTATAAAATCTCAATTATTTATTTTTTTACTTTTAATAATTGAGATTTATTATTACGTTTTAAATAAAAATAATTAGTTTTAGTAAATATAAATAAATTTCAATAATTAAAAGTAAAAGATGAATGGTTGAGATTTATATAATTATGATATATAAGATATATATAAATGCATCTCTACTCTTATTAAATGTAATTATTTTTTTATTTAAAAAATCATGATAAATTTTAATTATTAAAAATAAAAAAATCAAAATTTTATATAAATATAACATCTAAATTTTATATGTAAATCAATCTTTACTCTAATTTTTTTTTAACAAGGGTAATTATAGGGGAAAAGGGGAGTAGGTCAACCCATAAGCTAGAGTAGTACCAACTACCCGTAGGCCAAGGCAACTATCCATATTAATTTTACCTAAGTACTAAGATTTGAAAATGAATTATTCAGTTCCAAAAAGTTGATTCATCCTTTACTCTAATTTAAAATGAATAAAACCTTCTTAAATATTTTTCTATTCTATTTATATTTTCCTATCACTTCATTTTCTTTTGTTTTTTTTGTTTTTTTAAATCTTTCCTTTCAAAATAATTTTCGAATAATTTTTCGCAAAGCAAACAGAGACCTTAAAGAAGAAATCAGAAGTTGATGAGATAGACTCTTTTGAAAAATAACCGAAAATTCCAAAACTGTCTTTCCACTTAATAAAACAAAGAAAGGCAAAATCAGAAAATCTCCCCTAGTTATAAGTAAAACCTGAACATGGGTGAAGTAAAAAAGAAAAAGGAAATTAGCATGAACGATAGAAAAAGAGACAGAGAAGAAAGTGGTGAAGAATGAATCCAATTGAATTTTTTTTTTTTTTTTTTCTGGAAAGAATGAAATTGAATTTAAACAGCCTAAGTACAGCTAGAGAACCATGAACAAGAGATATATAATACCAAAAAGTGAGGTGCAGTCTACCTATGTAAACTGTATATCTGTATATCCTATAATCATTGATAAAATACAAGTCTCTTAATATTGAAATGATTTCCCTTTTCATCAATGATTATACAATATACAGTTTGCATAAGACATAATGCAAAACAGCTACCTCTATATAATATTGGGACCATGCAAAATTTATCTCTACATTCAACGGATGCCCGAGATGGCACCTAAAATTTCTAAAACACAATCATTATCTCATATTGCAGCACTGTTGCGTTTCTTGCTTTACCAATTTGTTCCACATGCAGGTCATTTGCCTTGGCGACTGGTAGTGAGCTGTATAATATCCTTCTATGCACCCAAACTGACAAAACTTTAAGCTGTGCAGATAATCCACCGGTTTTGAGCTGTTGAATTTCTCTACCCACATTCCCATGCTCACATCCTCCATCTTGAACATCTGCAAATAAAGAGTGAAATTGTTTTGATATCGAGTAAAACATGCAACCAGTACAACCTTTATACAAGCAATTAAGCATACGCATGAAGTGGGAAAATGAAGAAGCAACCTACCCGTAATTTATGTTTTTCAAACTCAGAAACAATGAAGAGTGCAATATCGGATGACAAAATGTAGCCAGGACCATTTGCGTAGGGTGGATAATCTTCCTCCGGCCACTCCTGAGATCACAACCAGATCAGTCAGAACCAGTAAGAAAATACTTCAAAATGACCCCACGGACCAAAATGCCAGAGCCAATTAAGCTTACACAAAACAGGAGCAATTACGATTGAAATGCACATGAGAGGAATTTTGAAATTTTGATCAATGGTAGTACATAATTTTAAGTGATCCCAAAAGCTAAGGTAAGCCATTTATTGTCAATGATGACCATCCATACCTCATATGTCACTGCCCATTTACCACTACGCAGGGGTTTATGGTAATAGTTAATGTTCCCAAGATAAAAGCTCCTATCATCAGGTACTCGTTTTGCTTCAGAGAGAACTGAATCTACTCTGACAAACGTGTCATCATCACACTTCATAACATACTTTGCAGAAATTTCACGAGCCTGCAATAAACTAAACCATTTTAGAATCCCCAGAAATAATTAACATTTTATCTATGTAAATTGACAAATATTCCATTGCTCACCCCATATTCGCAGATTGCAACAGTTTTCAACACAACAAGGTCATAGTTGTCCATGTAGGGCACTATTACAATGTCACCAAAGAATTCTGCTTCTTTCTTTAATTCAACATTCACTTCCTTTCTTGCGTGCTGTCCAAAAATAGACAGGGAAGACAGTTAAGTGAATGAAACTAAAAAACACAGCGAACCCAAAAACCATCAAAATTTTAATGCTAAGATAGTCTTAACTTACCATTGCTACAAAGAAGCGAGTAACCACTGCTGAAGATTTAACAAGCTCATGCTGCATCCAAGACTTCCTTACAGCCATCCTCTCAGCAAAATGATTGCCTGCAGATAGGATACCAATAAACAGTTGCACAGGCTGCTCTGGAAGAGGTGGAGCTTTCCACCTGCTGGACATCTCAAGATGTCTCAGAGGAGCAATACTTGGATGAGCCATAGGAAGCGAAGCAGCAAATACAGAGTGGACATCAATATCCCCAGTCAAAGTTAGGCCAGTGGCATCCTCAAGAGTGAAACCCTGCCAAAATTACCAGAAAACCCTAAGTACACTGAAAGATGCAGTACCATATTTGAGGTTTTCAGGATGCCACTTACGGTGCGATAAGGAAAAGAGGTAATATGCTTTCCATCAACATTAACATGATAACCCTCTAAACCAGCGCTAAGCGTTAGGACAAACAGCTTGCCCTCAGCAAACGGGAAAGGCCAGTCAACTGTCACCTTTTTTGTTCGAGTTTGACCTATTAGCCTGTTCAACCACCATGTTGCCTTGCTTTCCTCTGAGCCATTATCATCATCACGGATCCATTTTTCACACTTCACCTGATCATCAACTGCAGCCAATATGAAAATATTATACAATTGTGACACCACAATTAAAAAACAATGGATGAAAAAAGAGGCAAATTATTTAATTTCTTCTATCAATGATACCAAATTTCTTTTTCTGCCTTTCTGGTGAAATTTCCATATACACAATGGTTCATGTTTCACGCTGAAAGCCCCTAAGAATCAAACTTCAAATCTCACATTATACATGTAAGAGTCCACAAAAACCAAGACAAGTTGCATTTACAAGTTAATGAGACAAGTCAAATTCGAATTTTAAAAGAAAAACACTACTTTCCTTAAAGTAACAACAAAAAAGCTTATCACAAACTTCAGTTTTCGTTAAACTTCTGTCCTAAAGCAAACACCTAAATTCTGGATACAGCAACATACACCAAAAATGGGCATTTTACAACCCCAAAGAAAAACAAAATTTGATACTTCTATGAGACTAAATTTAGTGAAAAGACATCTAAATTCCTAGTTTTGACAAGGGAAAAGTATTTTCCAAAATTTTACCATGGGATTTGGTATCCTAATACAAATTCCTAATACCTTGAAAAACAACTCGTTTCCTAATCATGATGACTAAAAACACACTCAACCAACCCCTAATTAGTTGACCCATCAATTACGATCAGAGGCAAGACAAAAAAACTACCACCCCACACTCCATTATAATCCATTAAAATCATTTTCATCCCTTCATCTAACAAAGAAATCACCACAATAACCGTCAAATGCATTCAGCAGCCAATACAGCACATTTAAGCAACACACCAAGCACCCAGAAAATTTACTACCCCTTTTCAAAAAAAAAAAAAAAACTGCAAGATAAACTCACCGGTCTCCTCATCAGCCCCAGACTTCCACCCTTCACACCGCACAGCTGAACCCCACTGCATCCTGTAGCAAGTGTTCTGCTCAATTACAGCCTTCTGACTCCAATCACCTTTCAACCTCGGGTTGAAATGAAGAATCCGTGGAGGGTCCTCGCCGTCCACAGTTCTCAGACCTTGCAGCTCCATAACGAACTGCGAGACCATCACAGAATCATACCCCTCCACAATCGCAATGTTTGGGTCCTTTTCCGCATGGGCTGCTCTCGGCTTCCCCACAACTGTTACGTGGGATCCCAGGGTGAGCCCACAGGGCAGCATCATGATCCTCCCTCGTGCCAAAAACTCCGTCCCAGATAAAGAAACAGAGTTTGGGCATGGCTCGGATAAATTATCTGGATTCTTCGCCTTCTCAATTTTCACCCTGCCTGATGCTACATCTTCCCATAGCTTTCTTCCCACTTCCCACGCTGTCTTCGCCGACTTGTGAAGCTCCACCGAACCATCCTTGCTACTGGGGTCGAACGTTTTTGCATCAAACGACAACCCAGAGATGATCTTAGACTGGTTTTCATACTGCAAAAGCTGCGACGGAGTTGGGGCGTGCAAATTTTCAGATACCCAATTCTGGGGTCGGGCCGGAGAATCCTTCTCTTCCAAATCAACCTCGCTGGCAAGCATCGGCGGCCCAGTCAAGGCCCCCTGCGTCACAGTCCCGAACCCGCTATTGAAAACGAAGGGGATCTCCACAGTAACCAGGACTAGGTACAACAGACCTACCCCAATCAAAATCTGAATCGATCGTTGCTTGCTTAGCTTCACAAACACATCGAATTTGTTCTCGAATTTATCTAGCTTCGAAAATTTGGGTTTCTTCATCTCCCAAAAATTCAAGCAAATGGATATGATCCTAAACCAAAATTCAAACCCTGAAATCAAAAACCCAGAATCCAAACTCGAAGATATAAAGAATCTTATAAACAGAGAGCAAGAAAAGAGTTAGGTTATCGATCAAACGCGTGTGGAAAGGAGAGGAAGAAGATAGGAAGGTAAATGGATTTTGAGTCTGTCGGTTGACGAAGGTCACCTTTTGTGGACATTTCAAACTCGATTCGAAATAAAATATTTACTTTGTTTTAAAATTGAAACGGTAGCATTTGGTGGACTAAAACGACAACACTTGATAAAAAGCCGGTCATATCAAGCGATAAATCCGAGGGTTTAACGGCATTTGATGGTAACCTTATATTGGGTTTAAGTTCAATTAATATATATATATATATATGAATCAATGTTGGTGTTATTTTTAAAAAATTAAAAAAAAAATTTAATTTATATTTTAAAAATAAAATATTTTATTTTTTTAATAAGTATTTATTAAAATGACATAATTTTAAAATAATATTTCTCCTAATATTTAGGAGATAAAGCTACTATTCCCATTATATATATTTTACTAACATTTTGGTATTTGAAAGCTACAGTACATTTCAATTAATTTGAAATCAACTCATGTCGGATCTCATAAGAAAAGCTCTTTTAAAGTTTATTTCTGTTTACACCATAAATTACAAAATTTTAAATTAATGTCACGTGTAAAATATTTTTTATTGATTGGAGGAGATTGAGTCATGTCAGATTTGTATTTTGGGCCCCATGACAGATTAGCACTTATGTTGGCAAAAGAGGAGAAGTAAAGATAATTTTTTATGGAGTAATTATCTTCTTGAGACAAAAGGGAATAATGGGAGCTGAAAAATAGGAGAAGATTGCAGTTAGAAAGGGGGTTTTATCTTATAAGAGTACATGTGGCGAAATCTGTAAGGAGATTAGACCAGGTTAAAGGGTGAGTTGTTCCACTACTTCAAAAAACCATCAATGATTGAGTAACTGCAAAAAGTGGAAGTTACTGCCGGCACAAGGAGAACAAAAAGGAAATTTTTGAAGGAAAAACACACGGCCAGCCCTACTCAAACATCTGCAAATTTTCAGACTTTATTTTCTCTGCAATCTACTTCCAGATTTCGAATTTCAACAGATATTCCAGTAGAATTAGGATGTTTTTTATCATTCCAGTAGGCAAATTAATTCATGTATTCAGTTCAACAATTTCCTTTTATGCAATGAACTTCAATCTTTCAAGTTTATGCAAGATATTGTTCTTTTTCCATTTGTAATTAATTTAATGTTTATGATAAGTAGCATTTTATTCAATGATTACTTATGTGGTGTTCATATCTCTTTTCAACCTCAAGCATTGTAGTTTAATTACTATTCCCATTAATTTTTATGTTAATTAGGATGAAGTCTTTAATTTCGCAACATTTTAATTTTCAGATCTGCTAGTACATAGTATTTTAATTTAACAATGAATATGTTTAGTTTAATTTGGGTACAGCTTTTTCTTTCAAATTTACTTTAAATTGTAAGTTATTTAGTTCAATTAGGATTTGTTAATTTTAAGTCACGGTAGTGTTTAAGTTCTTGGAGTTGTCTAAGGCAGATTTCGTAACCCGTTCCACAGGAAGGTATTCCTCGCTCTTGCAAATCGTCTGAAGGCACAAATTTCATTTTAATCCAACGTTCTTTTCGCCATCTACAAAGAGGTCAACCGTGAGGAAGGAGAGGATCGTTGGGAAAGACCTCCTTTCTTACTTTCAGTAAAGTGAGTGACACGCCCACATCTAGATTTCACACGTGTGAGGCCACTAGAGAATTTTTGAAGAAACAATTTCTTAATTTATCAAATTTGAATTTAAAACTTTTGAACCCCATAAGAGAAAATTTGTGCAGTACATATTTTTTTATTCACAAAACTTAAACTTGTGATTTTATTTAAAGGGAAATTATTTTTTTTCACTCAAATTAACATATCATTAGTTAATATTTAATTAGCTTAGGTCACTGAGTACACCCCGCGAACACAAGGTGTGTAATAATATTTTTTGAGAAAAAATTAATTTTAAAATTAAAATAGATACAATTTGAGTAAGAAAAATGCTAATGTTCCAAACAAAAAATTATACATATTCTATGACATTTTGTAGGAATGTGATTATAGTTATATAAATTTTTTTT